TAGACCTATGAACCAGGAGGTCACCATTTGATTCTGGTCAGGGCACATGCCCAGGTTGCAGGCTCAATCCCCAGTTCTAAATCCCCCTTGCCCAGTAGGAGGTGCGCAGGAGGCAGCCATTGATGATTCTTATCATTAATGTTTCTATCTCTCTCCCTCTCCCTTCCTCTCTGAAATCAATAAAAATACATTTTTTTAAAAAAAGAATAGCAGTTCATAACAATTTTAGCAAAGTTGGCAGCATCAGAACACAGAGAAAACCCAGGCACCCCTCTTTTATCTTTTTTTTTTTTTTTTTTTAGAGAGAGAGAGAAAGGAAGGGAAAGGGAGAGAGAGAGAAACATCAATGTGATGAGACAGAAACATAAATTGACGGTGTTTGGCACACCCCTTACCACGGATCCAACCCACAATCCCTGGCTTGTAGCCTGACCAGGAATTGAACCAGTAACTTTTCAGTACAAGGGACGATGCTCAACCAATTGAGCCACACCAGCCAGGACCGTGCACCCCTCTTTATGTGTAATTTATTTACTCATGTTCTGTTTTAAGATGATATATACTTTGTTTCCATATCATGTCAATATGAAATACATTAGTAATTAATAAGGTAAACAGGATCTTAGTTAATTATTGCAGTGCTCTGTATTTGAAATATTGATACTAAAATGATATATTTCTGCTGAATTGGCATGAACATTGAAATTGCTTTCCTTCATTTTGTCTTCACTTAGCCAAGGGATTAGCTTCCATGTCTATATTTAGGTCATTGATTTAGAGCTCAAAAATATAAAGGTATTATGATACCAGAGTGTGTTTTCAGGGTTGATAATCACATTTCCCTTCCTCCTCCCTGCTTCAGTGACCCTGCCATATACGAACTGCTGCAACATTTAGTTCACCCACTATTGACCCTTAATGGTACTGTCCTAAATTGTTCCATATAGATCAGTCTTATCTCTAATTAGATGGTAAGTTTCATGAAGGTAAGGTTCTTATGTTATACTAGTGGCCTGGTGCACAAAATTCGTGTACATTAAAAGGGAATTAATTAGAGAAAATATTGTAATATTGCTATTTGCCCTTTCTCTATAATAGAAGTGTCAGAGATGAAAGAAAATTAGTAAAATGTATATGAAAATCTTCCTCCTGTCAGAGTCTGGGGTGGACCGTGGGGCCAGAGTCAAGTCCCCACCCACCCATGTGCTCCTCGAAATCACGCGAGACCCAGACCCGGCCAGCCCCACTCCATTTGGCGAGATCCAGACCCGGCTGGACCCACCCCGTCAAGCCCCACCAGGTGGGGGGCGCAGCCTCAGGGCCCCCAGCGCATCTTGAGGTCCCCCAGCCCAGCACCGGGGTGGGGGGCGTGCCTTGAGGTCCCCCGTCAAGCCCTACTGGGCGGGGAGCACGGCCTGAGGTTCCCTGGCCCAGCACCAAGCAGGGGGCGCAGCCTCAGGTCCCCTGGCCCAGCGCTGGGGCAGGGGGCGTGCCTTGACATCCCCCGTCAAGCCCTGCTGGGCGGGGGGCGCGGCCTGAGGTCCCTCCCTACCCCGCCCGGTGCTACGCAGCCTCAGGTCCCTGCTGATAGCTCGTTACAACTCATTATTGGAACCCCGCCTCCGTTGTGGGCGCAGCCATCTTGTGACGGCATTGCAGCGTGAGGGTCAATTTGCATATTACCTCTTTATTATATAGGATTCCTGTTTCTTCCCTCTCCATAATGCTTGGTACAGTGCTGAATATGTAGTGAATATAATTCTATCCTTCTATGTCCATAATATAAAATTTTGCAAATGCAGGGCTTATGTGAACCAGTCCCTTAAATTAACGTTGCTCAGAGTAGTCTTGTTAGGGGCTAGTGCTTGAAAAATGTTGCCAAATCAGGGAGTGAATTGATCGTAACATGACTGAAACGCTTACCAATGAGAGGCTGTTTCTTATCACAAAACAAGAAATCTGGAGACAGCCCTGGGGCTTCTGCAATAGCTCCCTGCTGTCAGTGTATCTCAGGCTCCTACTCATTGGCTCTACTGTCCCTGACCTGTGACTTTGTTTTTCTCCTCACAAGATGACTGCTCCCCTTCTGGGCATTGTGTCACATTATGGAAAATGGTCAGGGAATGGATAAAGGGCAAAAGATCAAAGAGGTACATGCCAACTGAGTCTTCCCCTTTAACATTCTTTCTAGGAATCCCCGACCAGCCCCTTCTACTTGCTCTTTATTGGGTAGGCCCTGTCATACTGGCCACCCCTAAATGCAGGAGAACCTGAAATACTAAGTAGTTTAAGCTGTGGACCTAGTGTGCAACAATGTCCGGGTCTGTCAGTAAGGGAGGATGGGATGCAGTTTCTGCCAAAGTTGCTGAATAAATGAATACATGAATCCCACTATTCATGATATGAACCGTATTTTGTAAAAAGCCATTCAAATCTCAATAAGAAAACAAACAGCCCAGTTTAAAATGAGCAAAAGATCTGAACAGACACCTTGCTAAAGTAGAGATGGCAATATGCAGATGGAAAATAAGCATATGCTCAACATTATATGTCAGAGAGTTGAAAATTAAAACAACAATGAAATATCACAACATACCTTTTACAATGGCTAACATCCAAAAAATAAAATACCAAATGCTGGCAGGGATGCGGAGCAAATGCTCATTCAGTGCTAGTGGGAATGCAAAATGGTACAGCCACTTTGGAAAACCAAGGGGCAGTTTTCCACAAAGCTAAGCATAGTTTTACCATATGATCTAGCCATCACACTCCTTGGTATTTACCAAAATGAGGTGAAAATGTATGTCCACACAAAAACCTGCACCCAAATGTTTATTTATAATCATCAAACACCGGAAGCAACAAAAATGTTCTTTTGTAGGTTAATGGATAAACAAACTGTGGTATATCCAGATAATGAGATTTTATTCAATGATAAAAAAAAAGCATTTTGTTTTCGACAAACCGAAGTGTAAAGATGCAAAATACGTATTTCAAATGGCTAGCCCCTTCCCCTTAAAAATGTGGACCCCAATCTTACATTAAAATTTCATAGCCCATTATGCATTTGATTGGGACAGCTTCAAAGCAAAAACTGGCCTTTTTAAATTTTGTTTCTAAAAACTCAAAAATTATTGCCGGCAGTAACTGCGGTTTTTTTAATTAATCTCCAGGTGAGAAAGAATCCCTATGCCGCCCAATGGCATGTAAGAAAATAAGATGCTCCTATTCATCCCCACGCCCATAGCTTAGTTTCTTAATAATTAAGAACTCTGCTCTCCACTCTGCTCTAGCACAGGCCAGCCCAAGAAATCGCCATTGCCCGGTGCCCCAGGCGGAACGGGAAAGGCTTTCCACCAGCTGATCTGCGTCGCGGAGGAGGCTGAGAGCCCGGCGCCGCGGCCCCCGCCGCCGCCGCGCAGCAAAGTCT